GTATCCGGGGGTGGGAAGGTTTCCAGTTACAGCCATGCCGTCGTATCCGGAAGGTTGTTGTATGTACATAGGAGGTTTGCGATAGGGCCGGGTAGGGGGTTTAGGCTATGAATTCTATGCATACCGATTTTGATATTGTACACTACGAGTACTTGTTTGTAAAATTATTATACGGAATAATCGTGCGATAATGGTGAGCTTGTTGGTTGCTCACCCCCATTATTTTCTTGTTGCTTTCTCTCCTCCTTTGTTCTAGGTTGAGACGAGCTTGAGGCGGTGGCGTAGGACGAGCGAGATGGTGGTCATATGTGTTGGAAACCTATGCTTCCGTATAAACTGGATATTTATTTATTTGTTATTGCACTTGGATTATTTGTTTACTGCTTTCACTTTTTCGAACTATGTTTAAGTTGGATGAACCTTGAATAATGCTAGACCTATTGAAATGGTTTGAGACTTATGTTTTTGGGAGTTGTTTTGTTGTTAGCGAGCATGTGTAGTTTCCTTGAATTGTTGGATGTGTGTTGTTTGATGATGTTAGTAAGTAGCGCCCGTTTCTCGATAAAGGTTTTAATTTGAATTTTGAAAAAAAAAAAAACTCCAATTTTTATTAAATAAATATGATAAATTTCTTAAAATAAAACGGGGCGTTACAACGTCGTTCAAAGCCCCTGGCAACGGGAACCGGAGGCCAAGCAGGATGCTCGCGCGATAAATGCCAATGCAGCCCAGCGGGGGACAATGAATGTGCTCACCCGCATAAGAGGCAAAAATCCTCACCCCGTCACCAAAGCAAGCCTTTCCCCTCAGCTTGGCCAAGTCAACGTTCCTTAGCACCAACGCGGTTGTCCAGGCAGTTGCCGAAGCGATGGATGGCCAAACCCGGCGGGGGCAGCACCAGCATCTAGGGGGAGCCATGGTCGCAGCTTCAACCGCGACATCGGTCTCGGCATCCTCACGGCCCATCGAAACCCGCTCTCGCCCGTGGATGTCTCCCTGCAAAGTCTCCTCGACGAGTCCCACGTCGACATCACAATCCTCAGGGGAAGCGGTGCCGGTCTCTTTCTCGACCTCCTCGGCATCGGACTGCTCAGAGCCGAGGTCGAAAACCTCGATTGTAGGGAAGTTCGGGTGATCCTCTGAGTGCGGACCCGTCGCTGCTGCCACCGACGTCATGCGGACGGCCGAAATTGGCGTGTCCCTGAGCAACTGTGTCGCTTCCGCCGTTGGAGGAGAGTAGACCACCAACTCCCCGGTCTCCTCCGCCGTGTATCTTTCTTCCCCGACGGGGAGATTCGCCGCGGAACCAGAAAAATCCGACATAATCGAGGGAGAAAAGTGAAGGGTTAGGAGAGAAACAGAATTACCGATATGGATGTTGCAGGAAGAGCTCGAAAAATCTCAAAAATCGCCCTAAATTCTTTCTCTGAAGCTCGGAAACTCGGTCGCTCGAAGAACTTCAGGAACTGTAAAAGTCTCCCGAGGAAGACGAAGGATAAGATATATATGGACTCTCGTCCAATCACGAGGCAACACGTGCCCAGCATTTGACATTCAAAATTAAAAGCTCAATCCGACGGCTGGGGAAAACGTAATCCAACGGCTCTGAAACGACAGCGTGGATATCACGCGCTCACGAAGGCCGTCAATCTCTAAAGCGACACACCGCTCGACGAGGACGAATCGAATGGCGCCACGTGGAAAGGTTCTAAAACGGCGTGACTTTCCATGGCCGACATGAAGCGTAACGGGTACATCGCATTAAATGACCCGTCGCTTCAGATCTAAGAAGAACGCGCACGATGACAGTAGAAAAAAATTTTTGCCGAGTAAAACCCACACGCCGAACTCGCGCGCCACCGAGCTACAACCAGAACAAGTGAACTCGGACGCATTCTAAAACGACGACCTCACAGGGGATACCGAAGACACCCCCTCCGAGCTCGGGGGCCTGTATGTTGACATCCGAGTTCACTCCAAAAGGAAATCAAACGAAAGGCAACCCCCAAAAGCCGAACCGACTCCTAAAGCTGAACCGAAGACCCGGTCGAGTGCGAGTGCGGAGCTGAACTCCAGAATTAATTGAACCTGACATCCCTGCAGGTCCATCCACGAGCTCGGCGTTTGTGCCGCTCAACTGCCGGTGCCGACCTAAAATAGGTGACGGGCTGAAGTAAGGTTCCAAAGGGCCAAAAGAGTAGAATAAGCTCAGAAGCCGACCTGAATCCTTAGAGCGGTGGCCCTAGAAACCGGCGCAGGGTCCGATAGTAATATAATAATGCCACTTGGAAAGTAATCATTGGTGATTGGACAGGGCGTCGTAGCCTGCAGGTCTACATCCCCTAGCCAAGACATAAAGCCTGCCAGCATTAAATGACCCCTATGTGTGCATTTAATGCCTGACAGGCAATGATTAGGGAAACCTCAAATCGCATTAAATACCTGTCAGGGAGACGCCGGACTGCTCTGCAAGAACAGTGTACGACAACACCAGTGAACAGTACCTGAAAAGTGCCACATTTAAGGGCATTATAAATAGCAGCCCACCTCATTTATTTCTGGGTTGTTGAATCCTCAACTAGCAAACTCTCTCTCTACTTTCTCTCTCTAAATCTGTAACCAATCTTTGTAAGAATTTGTAAAGATATCGCAAGTGCCAACCTCGTACGAGAGATCGACCTAGTGATCTGATAATAAAATCGTAATTAAATCATATCTCTTTGTCTTTTCCTTACTCAACATTTCCACTATTTGTTTCTTCAACCGTTGACCGGAAACGCCCGTCAACATTTGCATAATTTGTTGACTTCACATTTTTTAGTATTTGCATATCCAAATCAATCGCATAATTTACTAATATGCGAAAAAATTTTGCATATATCCAGTATAACGCCGGATAATTGACAATTATGCGATATTTTTTTGATCGCATATTTAAGAATCTCATAACCAAATCGAATAAAGCATAATTTATTTGACGATTAGCGCCATTTTTTCACAGGGCCATATCGACCTTGCAATATTACGACTATTCGAAATTTGTTCGCATATATGTCGCATAAGTTACGCACCTCATTAATTAACTGCTTTTTCACAGCTGAGGATTTTGTCTCTGCATTTATCATGCAGGCAAAAAAACAGTGATCTCTAACAATTTAACGTCTGCACTCTGCACCATTCATCTACTGCATTTTTCTGTTTCTTTTGTTTTAATTCTTTTCGTTGTTCACTTATTTGAATGGCTAGCAACCGTGTTAAAGTACTCCTGCACTATGGTGGTTTGTTTTCCGGGGGTTCATATCTTGGTGGAGTGGCAGAGCTGATGAGAATGAATTACGGCAGACAAATGTATTCTGAAGTAGTTTGTCGTGCTCAAGCAATATTAAAGGCCAATCCTTGTAATTTTGAGTACATATTGTGGACAGTATTTGATGGAATGGAACGACCAGTGAAGATGAAAATCGAATCCAATGACGATATCTTAGAGCAGATTGAAGTACAAGGAAATCTGAACATTTACCTGGAGTTGAAGAAGCGAGTAAATGTAGGGATTCTGGGGACGGCGCAATAAAGCTTAACGCAAATGATGGCGTCCCAAGGTGTATTTTCTAATTCTTTTGGTGTTAGTAGTTCTGCATTTTCCCACAAGGCCCCATATTCATATCAAGCAGGCCCTAGTTCATTTACATTTACACATACTGGATATCCTCGGGATGCTGATGATCCAACGGCAGGTTGTTCGAACCAACCAGGTCATTCTCGTGATGATGACAATAATGATGACCAAACCAACACGCACAATGATGATTCAAGTGATGAAGACAAAGAGGTCAATGAGAAGCAAATGTTCAAGCTTTTCAGGGCGTGGTATTGCGAGCATATTGAAGAGCTAAGATTAATTACCGACCATATTAAGGCTGAAAGTCTTGCATATAAGAATCCAGGTAGCACGCGGCAATCAGACATTGAGCAACGAATGTGGTCCCTTCATATGACGCCCACGACAACTCGATCAGATAGACAACCCATCCACTTACCCTTGAACAATTTAGAATTATCTTTGGGGTCTGTCTTTCTTTCGAAAGATGAGTTGATTTGTGCCATCCAACTTTATCACTTGCAACAAAAAGTTGAGTGTCGAACACCCAAATCTTGCACTTCTAGGCTAACCTCTATCTATCGGTATGAAGGGTAACTTATAAGTTATGTGCAAGGGCAAATCTAAATGTATGGAGAATCACTACATTGAAACTCGAGCATACATGCAAAAGGAGTTTGGCGCACAATTGACAACGTTCGGCTAGTTCCAAGGTTCTCGATCATGTGTTCGCACCAACTATTCAGACAAATCCCCAGACGGTATGTACACGGAGAATTATTGAGCAAATGCGGGAGGAGCATGGTTTGTCGATCAGCTACAACGTGTCCCTCCGAGCAAGACACCGTGTTTTTGAAAAATTTTATGGGGGTCATTAAGAATCATGGGGGCGGCTTCCCGGTTACTTGCACATGTTGCGGGTTCGTAATCCAGGTCCAATTGTTGAACTGCGACGGGATGGCGAGGTATTCAACCACTTGTTCTTTGCTCTAGGCGCTAGCATTGAGGGCTTTCAATGAGCTGGTGTCCCAGTGATTGTGATAGATGGTACGCACTTGAAGGAAAAATACAAGGGCATTATGTTTGTTGCAGCCACATTGGACGGGAATCACCAAATCTTTCCCCTCGCAATTGGCATTGGTGATTTAGAGCGTCGTGAGACTTAGAGTTGGTTGTTGAGTCATTTGAGAAGGGCCTATGGTTGTCCTAAGAACCTCCTCATCGTATCGGATAGACATGAGTCTATCATACATTCTGTCCCAATAGTGTTCCCAGAGGCGCATCATTCATTTTGCTATTATCACATCACAAAAAAATGAGGCCTTTTGGGAAGCAGGTCTTGGACATATTTTACAAGGTGGCATATTGTTATCGGCGTGAAGACTTCTTTCGTTACTTGTCAGCCATTCAAAGCCAAAAACTCGAAGCATTTAGAAAGCTAACTAATGAAATTCCGGTAATGGCTTGGGCGAGGTGTTTTACACCTACATCTTGACGGCGCTATGGATTCATGACATCTAATTCCTGCGAAAGTTTGAACAACAAACTCCTATGGGCCAGGATGTTACTCGTTTGCTCGTTGTTGGATGTGTTCGGGCAACGATAGAGAAATGGTTTGCTGTTCGGCGTGCATCCGCCGAGGGTCGCAATCATCCGCTAACGCAGTGGACTCAATTGCGGTTGGATCCTTTGTTCAAGAAAGGTCGTACTCTATCCATTACCACACTCGCCATGCAACGTTATAAGGTTATGGAAGAAACACGATCCTACGTGGTAGATTTAGGGGAAAGAACATATTAGTGTCGTGTGTTTGAAACAGATCTACTACCTTGCTTACATGCATCTACGGCCATTCGGTAATGTTTACCAAACAAAATTATCGTTTTTTTCTTTTAAAAATAATAAAAAAAATTGTTATATTCTAATATGATGTGCAAATTTATGATATGTATACAGGGAAGCCGGGTTAGATATAATGGATTTCGTTAACGACCATTACAAAACTTACTCAGTTGCAAAGATGTACCAAAGCACCATTAACCCGGTCCTGCATCCAGATGAGTGGCACTTGCCCCCAAAAATTATGCGTATAAAGGTAATTCCGCTAAATGATCCCAAACAAGCAGGTCGGCCACAGACTCAACGTTATTCCGCTGGAGAAGGATCATCACGCCGAGTACGGCGTCAGCAGATGTGCTCTCGGCGCAGGGTCACCGGGCATAACAGGGCGAAGTACCCTCTATACGATGGTGATAATGACTTTTTTTTTTTAAATGAAGAAGGTCAAAACGCACCAACTCCTCATCCAAGAACAACATCGAGACGCCCAAGGAGATGTCGTACTTGTAAAGAAACAGGTCACAAATCGTCATCTTGTCCATCACGTCCATTCCATGACAATTTAGATGAAGATGGAGACGTTATGTAATATTATGTACCTCATTGGAGTTTTTAATTGTAAAACAATTTAATGGAAAAAAAATACTTTTAACGGGAAAAATACTGTGTTGGTACCCTAAGTTGTGACCTGCACACGATTGACTAATAGAAAGTAGTGAAACTGGGTTGATTGCGCGATTCGCATAACATGTCCCCTAATAATCGCACAATTGGGTTGATTTTGCGATTCTCATATCATGTCCTATAATAATCGCACAACTGGGTTGATTCGCAGGTTCATTCGCCTAGTCTTCACCCGCATAATTAACGAATCGTATATCCAAATCTAAAGCCGCATAACTTACGACTATCCGCCATTTTTTTGTATATCCATATGGACCGCATTGATTGATTGTCTGCACCGCATATCCAAATCGAAAGTGCTTCACATATTATTCGCATAGGTTACGCATTGCATTGGTTGATATTATGCTTTTACACGTAAAAAACTTTGACGATTTGCATGCTTCCTCATTAAGTTGTCAAGTTGATGTATATCTACCAACCTTTAAATACTATCTGTAAATGTTAATCTTTCATTCTCTTTGTTGAATAATTAACCTTTCACTTCTCAAAACCCTAGCTTTCGATCGCAGCCAAAAAAAAGAAAAAAAAAACAAGGAGGCGCACGTTTGCGAAAAGAAAAATGGAAACGATTTCACCCTTTGAAAAGATCGCGATTCGCTTCTGTGGCGTGGACTGGACAGAGGCTGAGAAAGATATTTGCTACCAGTTGTTTTTTAAAAAGTGTCTTGAGAAGTCAGACATACACCAAGGCCCTGTGTTCAATTCCTTGTGGGCAGAAATTTCAAGATTACTGAACCAAGGGCTGAGTTATGCATTGAAGAGGGAGTATACTATTGCCGAAGAAAGATTCAGCGGCTCAAAAATTATTTTGATGAATTTTCTGCTTTTCTGAGGATTCCAGGCGTCCTCTTGCGTCCTCGTTCAGGCTTGGTAAAGGTTAACCACATGTACTGGGTGCATGTGCAGGATGAGGTAAATTTCATTTGATTTTTTATTTTAGTTTGTTCAAGCATGCATTTTTGTAACGCGGTGATAATAACCTAAAAAGATTCAAATTTATTACACAAGAGACAGACGCACAGGCATTTTTCTGTTCGGAAGGATTCCCTGGTATCGTGAGTGTTATGAGGTTTTTACCGAGCGCAACGCAGCCGCGATCGACTTGAAAGGCGGGCCTGGTGCTTCGGTTGATGACCCAAAACTTGTAATCAAAACTTGTTTGTCTTATTTTGTTGGACTGACTGCAGCAATAATAAATATTTTTTTTTTCTTCTGTCAAGTATATGTGTTTAATCATGATTCATATGTCTAACAAAACAAAGTGCGATAAATCGCATTGTGTTCCCAGCAAAATCAGCGACAATATTCGAAGAAAAATTATTATTGAAAGGAATTCTGCAAAACTGTGAACAAAGTGCGAAAATCGCATTGTGTTCGTGTAACGTAATGAAAAAAAATAAATAAAAGTAATTTATATTTTGTAAACGCGTCTCCAGGCCAGATCAACCGCATCATATAAGATATGTGAAAAACTATCGCGTAATTAGATTATCGCATACTCAAATCGAACGCTGCATTATATATGAGTATGTGGCATATGTTCGCATAATTTACGATACGCATATCCAAATCTATAAGGCTAGATAACTATCGATTGTGCGTATTGTTTTCGAATATTTACGAATCGCATATCCATATAAACCTCGCATAATGTATAAATATGCGAACACATTTCGAAGTGTTACGCGCCGCATTGGTTGACTGCTTTTTTTCACCTAATAGTTATTTTTAATTTATTATTAATTTAGTCAAAAAACAAGAATTTTTCAAAAAATATTATTTACCAACTCTCGAAATAATATGCGATGTTTGTATATGTCGTAGAATAGAAAATTTACAAAAACAAGCATAAAAAAACATATGTTACTCCTTATAATACGAGTGTTATGCGGTTTTTATGCGAAAATTTTTTGAGTAATAATTGCAGGTTCATTCGCCTATTAGTAATTTAGTCATAAAAACCTTCCAAAAATTAAATTTTATAAAATAAATTATTTACCAACTTAGGGACTAATATGCGACATTTGTATGTCGCCATTTCGTATGTCACAGAATAGAAAATTTACAAAAACAAACCTTAAAAAAATATATGTTATAGACGTATAGTGCGAGTGTTATGCGGTTTTGTTTCGAGTAATAATCGTAGGTTCATTCGCCTAATAGTACTCTTCAATTTATTAGTAATTTAATCATAGGCCAAAACTTTCCAAAAATTAAATTTTATAAGATTAATTATTTACCAACTTGGGGACTAATATGCGACGTTTTTATGTCGCAATTTCGTATGTCGCAGAATAGAAAATGTACAAAAACAAACTTAAAAAAATATATGTTATTCGCTGTAGTACGAGTGATATGCGATTTTTATACGAAATTGTTTCGAGTAATAATCGCAGGTTCATTCGCCTAATGGCTAATAGTAGTCTTCAATTTATTTAGTAATTAAGTCACAGACCAAGAACTTTCTTTTATTTTTTCAACGAAACGATAGATTAAATAACTACAGATTCATAATGTTCGATGGTTAACTAGCAACAAGGAGCATCACCCCATGGTGTCCTAAATAATAAACAACCAATACATAGATCAACAAGACAGAAAAAGAACTTTCCAAAAATTAATTATGAACCAATTCGGCGAATAATATGTGACGTATGTATGTCGCAATTTTACATCGACACAACTACTTTACATCGACTGAAATAGTTTACATGTAATCTTACATCGGCATAAATGAATTACTAGAAAGATGCAGCTACGACAGCTTGTTGAAACAATAGCTTGAAAGATCAGAAACAATTGGATGCGTGTGCCGAAGGTTTCAAAATCGGGAGGCTAGGTAAGTTGATGGGATCGGTTCATCAAGTTAGCTTCCAAAAAAACCATCCCTTGTTTAACTTTCAATTTCCATTTTCACATCTGTCTACGAGTGGAATGTATACAGAGGTTGACGGAAATGGATGATGCGATGTATACAGAGGTTGAGGGAAATGGAAGATGGGATTTATCACTTTCGATCAACATAAGTGTCCGTACTAATATTTCATAAAGAGATTTAATGGTCAATCAGCTTTTTATTTCAAGGCGTGATCCCTTTCATCGTCGTAGGCACCTCAATCTAGTATACTCAGGAAGACCAAGCAATTCGCCGGAGATTCCACGCCTTCCCAGACACATGGTCGCTTCCAAATTGTTCAACCTACTTTTGCAAAGCTCCCAGTGTGAGGTGACCATGTGCCTGGGTAGACGTGGGATCTCCAGTGCGAGTGCATGGACTTCCTAGGGATAGTAGATTGGGGAGGCTACGACGGAGAAAGAGAGCACGCCCTCAAAGAAAACAAGAGGATCAGGACCCTTCACTCAATTCTTCAACCATGGATTTTCTTCAACAAGACGGACAATGCAGACTGTACGGCAGGTTGAGGAAAATCGAAAGTTGAAGAATTGAGAGAAGGTCCTGATCCTTATTCAATTGTCTCATCTCAGCTACCTTTATAGAAAACTCAAGAAGATATCTATCCTCCTTGATACACGAGCCGTTATTATGCGCCGAAGACTGAGGGGACGTTTCGGAGAAGAGACGACTCTTCAAATTCGCAGAACTGCGAACAGAATGCGATGAATCGCACTTCATTCACATAACATAATGACAATAAATTGCATTCTATTTCGCATATCTGGTTTGGGTATACTGAAGAAGATATATCTATCCTCCTTAATAGGCGCGCCGTTATTAATACGCCGAAGACTGAGGGGAGTCGTTTCAAATTTGTAGAACTGCGAACAAAATACGATGAATCGCACTTCATTCGCATAACGTAATAACAATAAATGATTTTGCATATCTGGTTTAAAGAAGAGATACTCAAGAAGATATCTATCCTCCTTGATACACGCGCCATTATTATGCACCGAAGACTGAGGGGACGTTTCAGAGAAGAGGCGACTCTTCAAATTCGAAGAACTGCGAACAAAATGCGATGAATCACACATCATTCGCATAACGCAATGACAATAAATTGCATTCTATTTCGCATATCTGGTTAAAAAAATATATAGGTAAAATATAAATAATTGTTTTTCATGCGCCGACCTTTTCGGTAAAACAGCTGGCATTTAAATTGAGAGTCGAAAAGACACAACCTTTAATCGCAGAACGGTGAACAATGTGCGATAAATCGCATACCTGAAATTATGGAGGGAAAAAATCCTGCCCACTGAATTAAACATTTTAGAGTAGTGCCACAAGGTCGAAGAGGAATGAAATTAAGTTGCAAGTGAAGGATAGACAATACTGAAATGAAAGTGATAATAGAAGAAAGCCACTTATCAAAAAATATAATAATGTTCAAGCTCAATCTTAGATACAATGTTGATTAGGAGTTAAAGTATATAGATAGATAGATAGATAGATATTGTTTACTAATGTGATTATGTTTGAAAGTGATAATAGAAGAAAACCACTTATCAAAAAGTATAATAATGTTCAAGCTCAATATTAGATACAATGTTGATTAGGAGTTAAGTTATATAGATAGATAGATTTATTGTTTAGTAAAGTGATTATGTTTGAAAGTGATAATAGAAGAAAGCCACTTATCAAAAAGTATAATAATGTTCAAGCTCAATCTTAAATACAATGTTGATTAGGAGTTAAGGTATATAGATAGATAGATATTATTTAATAATGTGATTATGTTTGAAAGTGATAATAGAAGAAAGCCACTTATCGAAAAATTTAATAATGTTCAAGCTCAATCTTAGATACAATGTTGATTAGGAGTTAAGATATACAGATAGATAGATAGATATTGTTTAATAATGTGATTATGTTTGAAAGTGATAATAGAAGAAAGCCACTTACTAAAAAATAAAAAAATGGCCATTTTATACATTATGAAC